AATAGACCTTCTGATTTGGCAGAGATGGGTAGGAGTTGTACTTCTAATAAAATATTGGGGTGGGAGGAAATTATTACAGTACAAGAAGCATGTGTTTATGTGTCTTAAAAGTGTCCCCCTCACCAATGCCTCTTGTTTTCCTGTGCTTGTCGTTTCTCTTTCCTCTTAGGACAGACACCTCTATGGCAAATGCAATAAGCTGTATGTCGTCTTCAACAGCCAATCAGAACAACATAGTGGTATGCTTTGCCTCCTTGCTGCTAAAATATGTATTTTACTCGCTTACTTTTATGGAGTTCATTCAAAAAAGTCTAGACTTGGAGTAAAGGCATTCCTGTTCATAACAGATTTCAGATGACCTCATCTAGTCCTCCCACATCAAACAGTTGCATGAACGTCTGTGATGCTCCGTGACCAGTTACAGCTTTGGGGTCTACAGGCAGAGCCTTAGGCAATATATTCTCTATGCAGATGCTTTCTCAGCCTCCAGAGACAATTAATTTATCTGTAAATAGCTGTTGTTATGGTATCATGATCCATTTAATGTCAGTTTTGTTGTGTTTTTTTTCTTCCCTCAAGCTATTAATCTGTCTAATTGCTTAAAAACATCTCTTCAGCTAAGTTTCAGGACTCTGTCCTTCCTTTTGGAGTTGCTACTGTACTTTATTTCACAGTGCAGATGTTGGATGCCTCCCAACATTGTAGCTCTTCCAATCCAGTAGGGGTTGAGTAGTATAGGAAGGGCTTTTTATGATGCATTTATTAGCAAAATACTCTCAGATTATGAGAGCTGTACTGTAGCCAGGTGATTAAGTTATGCCATATCTTTCTTGGGCTAAGGGTTCTGCTGGTTCTTTTATTATACTTGAAGCAATTCTCAGGGCTGTTCACGTAGTACCTGATCAGCTCAAAGGAACTTCTGTTTCCATGTTAGAACTGTGAAGTTAGTAGTGAGATGCACTGAAAAAAATCTGTCATGAGACTTCTGAAGTGTATCCCACATGCTGACCCCACTCCTGCACCAATGCATAAGTGAGGACTCTAGCTCCTTTACTGGTCTTTGTGAGAAATAGTTCATTCCCCGGCATCTGCTAAATGGCTACCTGGAGATCTACTGTAGTTTCACCAAGCACTGTACCTCAGTAGAACTGCCCAAGGCTTTTATACTCGTCTTGTCTACCTGTTCCTTTTCATTGAAATGGTTGAGTTTACATGCAAGAAGTTGTTGGTGGCTGGAGACACACTGACACTGATAGAGTTCTTCAAGAAAGTGATCTACATGTGTATTTCGTGTTCATCCTCTCTATCTTTTCATTCAGGGTTAATCTGGTACTTGGCTGTGTGGGGATTATGTGCTGAGGAGGCCTGAAAATGGCACTAAGCATGTGCCTTGGCTGAGCAGGAAGGATGGCAGAAGTGAGGGTACCATGTACAAATCAATAATTAAAAGGAAAAAAAGTATCTTCTATTAAGTAAGATGGACCCTGTATGCCCATCTATGTACATGACTGTCATATCTTAGGGGGCTCTTTTTACCATATAAGTTTTTAACCTCGGTGTTGTGTTTTTGGTTTCAACTTTTAAAAAGGAGATCATAATTAAGTTACATAGGGTTGAATGGGTCCTTGGACAGTATAGTTCCTGTGTGTATATAATTTTAACCAAGAAAACCCCTTCACTGAGCTTTGATTACCATGCTCACTAGTGTTTTGCAAGCAGTTATTTTCCTCTGTATTTTAATTTTCCCGTGTCCTAAATGTTGCTTTGTTTTTTATTTCACTCATTCTCTACATCCGCTGTGTCCTCTCAACACTTCATCTTTCTGTTTTCATATATCAGCTTTTTGAAGCCTCATTTCATTCTAGCTGACTCATTGCAAGAAATACAAGGGTTTATACAGTGCACTTGGTAGGTAGGTGTTCGGCAGGCAAATGGAGAAAATATTGAAGAAACAGTGGACCAAATTAATCTGTAGTACAGCTCAGATTCACTGAAATTCTCAGTTTTGAGGTATTGCTGCTCAATTAGCACTGATTGCCACCAGCATAAGTGAAGTAAGGATCAGGTTGGCATCCTTCTGGTGTATGTAGGGTTCATGTTAAGCTGTTAATTAGGAAAATACAGGCAATATTTTATTAGCTCAGGAAGGCATAATTTTCTAATATACTTTTTTCTTGTTATCTGCAAGTTTCTGGCCACTAATGTAAGCGTGTGCAGACTGAAATTCATCAGCCTGCCCCATCCCCAGGAGACTACTTATTAGCTTTATGCAACACAAGATATTAAAAACACTTTTGTCTGTCACACAGCCACGGGCAGGGGAGGGGGAATTTGCCAGTTGCTAATGGATACCTGGAGTTTTTGTGTATGACCATGAAGAACAGCTTGTGCACTTTCACCCCCGATGTTCCCTGAATAACTTGGGTCTCATTTAGGTCAATAAGCCTTTATCAAAACGTCAGGAGTGAAAAATGTGTCTTGGTGTAAGCCGACTGGTCGTTCCCTCCAGTCACCGGAGTCTATAGGACAATCAATGTTCTCTAAGCTTGTCTGCGTGTCACGCAAAGAGCTGGATGACAGTAACCATTGACTGCGTGTCTGTCGCATTGTCTTTGGGACAGCCCCCATTTGCATACTTGCCGGTGTGCCTGTCATCCAATGAACCATGGAGGGCCTTTAAAAAACATACGCGCACAACTCCGATGCAAATTTCCTACGCAGAGAATACGTGCTCCTTTAAAGCACAATCCAGGCTTTCACTTTCCACCTTCGTGCTATAAAACTGAAACTGTGATCCTGACAAGGCCGTGGTGCCTGGTCAGAGTGCTGTTTGTGGTTCCATTGTGCTAAAACATTTAACTTTTCTCTGGGTTTTGCTTTGCCTACCAAGATAATTTTTTCTTGTTATTTTGCTTTTGGGGATATCTGAACAGTATCTGTGCTATCACATATGTGATGTGAAGCCATACATCCCTTCCTCAGATGAGTTATTTTGAATGAAGGACAGTTTTTGCTCCATATATGGTTGGTATTGTCTTTTGTTAACAGCGTTTCCTCCATAGTGGTGGTGAAAGGAGACATACTAGCTGTCTGCATACAGAAGAGCACTTGGATATTCGGGTTTATTGACCGGGTCTGTGAAAGGAATACAATCACTTGATCGGAAGAGGTTGCCTCTGGTGCTTATTTTCTGTGACAATTCAACAGCACCTCATATCAAGCAGAGCTCATAATTTTGCCATTCACTGGTGGTTCATAAATGACATTAGCCTGGACAAAGGAAGAGTTTCATTGCATTTGAAGCTTCTGTCGTAAGACACAGGCTTTCCTTAAAAGATCTGCTCCAGATGCTATTTCTTAAGATTTATGTTGTTCATTATGTTTTTATTTTATTGAAAAAATTAATGATAATCCAATTGAAAAAAAAAAAAGGTGAAAGGTTCTGGTGGATTCTTTCCGAAGAAAGTTATAGAAGAGATTCTTGGCTGGGTCAAAGGATCTGAATTTCATGTTTATTACAACCAGTGATCTGGATAGTTTCATTATATCTTAAAAATCTAACTTGAATACAAGTGACTGTAAACAATTATGGTAGCTGTTCTACTGCATCTGACAGCTTGCATAGATTATGAGATTGTCAAAACCAAGGGAAAGAGTCCTGGCTCATGTTCTGCTAGCTTTTCTGAAAGTGTCACAGAGTTGAACTTCAACAAGTTAGGGCTCAATATTCAGGGCAATGTCCCCTGCATTTTTGAAGCTGATCATATGATTCCCATTCATCTTGACTGGACTAAGGTTGTGTTCTGGTTATTTCAGTTAGTTTAGAAAATAATTCTGGGTACCATCTTGAGTCTCGTTTGAAAATCTGTTACACCAGCAGTGTAACCTGCAGAAATGTGAGGGGGCTGGACAAGATGTTTAGCAGCACATTGTCTTCTCTGCAGTTGCTCCTTATATGAAATCACACTTTGAAATAAGCAGTTCATTCTCTTAATCTGCATTAACATATGTAACTGTGATATTTTGAGATTGGTTTCTCAGCTGTAGTCTTTCTTTATGCCATGTGTTTTGTGTTTTTAATTACAAACCATTCTTACCATTCTAATAAATAGATTTTGTTGCTGGCTCTGGTAGAGAATGTGACTAGTTATTAATGGAGTTAGCCAATAAGGAAGTATTGCAGCTCCCTGATACTCAGGGAAACTATGCTGAGTATGCCATGCTCATTTGGTCTGTAGAAAATCAAGGTTTATCGGCACATTGACCATGTTCCAAATAGGACATAACCTATTTGGTGATTTGTCTAATCACCAAGAATATCAGATGTCTTTGACATCTATCACTTTGCAGGCATTTCCAAAGTCATACCTTAGCTTGTGGTTTACAAGTAGCTTGATACCAGCCATGCTTCAGGACTAAGATCTCTGTTTCTGATAAAGTCCCTAAACATTGGCAAGAGGATGGGAAAGGTGTTCTAGAAATCTCACTATATTTTCAGTGCACCCGGAGACTGACATATTGGTGCTGGGTACTAGAAATCTTTTTTCAATCCATGCGAGATTAAAGGAAGACTGAAAAAGTATAAATAAGGTGGTTAAACTGATCTGGTAAATGGAATGTGAAGCACAGCTCTTCCCAAAATGAAATAAGCTAGCAAAAAAAAATCTTCTAAATACAGACTGTGCTTGTTTTTTTTGGCTCAGTCAGGAAACCTTTTGTTTGAATTAGACCAAGTGAATTGCACAGAATAGTTTTCAGTTTTAGTACGTGTAGACAAGCCAAACTGCATGTGATCAAAGTATTTAAATTTGCTCTTAATATTTTCTTTCTTTACTCTTACAGGTTTTTCTGTATTACTTTAGATCACTTTGGTATGGTTGACATATTTGTCACCTTCCTAATTTTACATTTTATTTAGCATGTCCTAATACATTCTGAAAAGAGATGAAAGACATAAGTACAGTAGAGAATTAACCTAGTTCCCTGTCTGTTTCTTTTAGGAAATTGTATTAGTGGTATTCTTTGGAACAGAGTATGTGGTTCGGCTATGGTCAGCAGGATGCCGCAGTAAATATGTTGGAATATGGGGAAGGCTTCGTTTTGCTAGGAAACCTATTTCAATTATTGGTGAGTATGCACAGCATGCAAAGTTGATGTAAACAATGAGTAAAACTTGCCCTGAAAGGTTTTAAAAGTTGGATTTCTGCAGTAGTCGAAGCCAAGTTAGAGCGAGAACTCTTGTCATTAGCATGAATGTAGATCTGAATTTCCCTTCAGGAATTCATGGCACTGTCGAGAACAAACGTAACTTGGTTTGTTTTCCCAGAAGAGCAGAGTGTTTTCTTTTCACAAGTGATCTGAAGCTTTGCCAGGAATAAGTCTTGGCCATGGTCCTGTCTCCTGTGACCTCAGGATCCCAGACACTGCACAAGAGCTACAATTGTATTTTTTAAAGATACTGAACAGCCTTTCCTCCCTCTTGCCCCTGCAGCCGTTTGAGTAACTTATTATGAGTTTATTTTGCACTCTAATTGAGCTGTTTACTGCATGGTAGAGCACAATAGATGCACTGTAGTTACTCTGTGTATCAGTTGAATTAAAATATGGTTTTCAGGGATGCATTTGGAGCTGGACACCTGACTTTTCTTGGTATTCACCTCAGTTGGCTTCCCAAAATTATTTCAGTGTTCTTGGAAATTACATCCCTATATTCCATATATGCAACGAATGATTATTTTTTTTTAGAATGTTTGCCATTCACTTAAAAATTTCCCTGAAATAAACACAATAATTCAAAATCAATCTATATTTGGTTAGCCAGTATTGAGAGAAGTATGTAAAGACCCTTGCCCTAAAGTACTTAAAATATAAATGGACTAAATAAACCAGATTTTGGAAGAGGAGTATTGTTATAGAAGAATAGTAATTCTTGATCGGTGACATAGTTATTTCAACTACTTGGAAACATTATTTGTTGTTTAGTACAGGATATAGGTTTTCATAAACTATCTACAATTTTGCTGAATATAAATTACAAAATTTTGTACCTGAGTATTTTTAAAATCATAAAATAATTCAGTTTAGCTTCTCTGTGTATCCATCCATACATATATAAAAATAACAACTGCATCTCAGGTGTGACTGCAACTCTAAAAAGCTTTTGACTGTATCTTTGCACTCTGAACACAGTCCATTTCTCCTTAGACCTAGAACACCATGAGTTCTGAAACATTATCCAATTTAATTCAGTCTGGAAAGCAAAATATAGTTCCACTTTCCCAGCTATAGATCAAGAGCTATTTAATTCTCCAAAATACAAAGTTCCTTTCCAAAATTAACTAGGCCTGAAGCATGGAGATTTACAGTACAGTTCTGACTGACTTAAACTAAATTAGACTTATGCACTAATTCCGATTTTTCTCTCCCTTTTAGACCTGGAGAGATGAAATGGTAGTAAGGCAGTTTTCTTATATACAAAAACCCCAAGTCTCTGTCAGTGAAAATACTGTCTAACACAGAAAAGAAAATAAAACACACAGAAGAGAGAATAGGTAGAAACTGCTGAAATTCCTCCTGCTAATAGGGATTGCAGACTGCATTAGAGTAACTCTTAATTCATCTAGACTGTGGCCACCTTAGACCCGTCCCAGCAAAATTTTTCTGTCATATCTCAAAATTATATTTTCTTTACATGGTACAATAGAGATCTCTTGGTATATAATTAGGAGTGATTGTTCAATTTGTTAAAGTAATATTGGAATTGGTTCTAGTAACATCCTTGCAGAAATATTGCAAGATGCTACTAACTAATTTTTTCAATTGACTTTTATTTTCCAGATTTAATTGTTGTTGTTGCTTCCATGATAGTTCTTTGTGTGGGCTCTAAAGGTCAAGTCTTTGCAACCTCAGCTATCAGGTAATTATAAGCAATAAAAGAAATTAGTGCTATCTGAGTAAGGTGGGGTTCTTTTTTTTACCTCCTGCTTCAATTCTTGCAGGAGAAAACAAATCTCTGGTCAGTGTCCTGTAACAAAGCAGATCACCAGTCATGTACAGGTGTGAAACAATGATCCCACTAAGTGCAGAGAAAATAAAATCTTGTTGTAATGCATTTATGACTGGGGGGGCAGAGATGCACATATCCCTGCCCCCTTTCCCTGCCAAGTTGGGTTCTTCCCAAATCCTGGTTTAGTTTTGTGGCTCAGTTTTGTAGCAACCCTTTCGTGCTTCATATCTCTTGATGTCTTCAAGCTACCTCTTCATAAAATGCCTGGGATTAGTGGTTGTGAATTCCTGAATCCACCTTGTGCTCAGGAAGGTCACATCACTTGGTTTTCTTGAACAAGAAAGTACATGGCACTGTACTGTGCTCTGCACATTAGCTGCAGGAACACCCAAGGATTGCAGTGACTCCCATAAAGGGTATTTTAAAATATTATTGGACTCTCTGGTTCAAATTGCCTATGAAATTCCTCAAAGGTAAGGAAATCAGCTCTTTAATTAGCTGATTCTGCATGTTGTTTCCCATCCTGGTAAGCAGGTCAAATATGCATTGATGAATGATTTCTAGAGCATTCTCTGTTTGTGTCCAAAATCCTGAATCCTTGAGTTATCCTTACTAGCCTTATGTAAAAAGGTCAGTCCTTCCCTTGCACAGTCTTTCCAGGCTGTCTTCGTAACAAACAAGATGAAAGATCAGTGAATGGAGTGAAAAGAGACAGGCTGCCAAGTCTAACATAAAATACTATATGTCTCTTAAAATGGTCCTTTGGAAGACACAGACTTCCCCTCTCTAACTCTGTTTCTTCTCTAGCATCTTTAGTGTCTTCATTAATTCGAAAATTTTGTTCCAGGGGCATCCGTTTTCTGCAGATTTTACGAATGCTGCATGTTGATCGTCAGGGGGGCACGTGGAGGCTGCTGGGATCAGTGGTGTTCATACACAGACAGGTATGAACAGGTATTGAGCAGGCTGAGGAATGGCACAGTTGATGCAAATGTCCTTAGATTCAGAATGACATATATGCAGATACGCTGATGATGTCAGTTATACTTAATATAGTTGGTTATACTTTATTTTAACCAAGTATGGTTGTTCTGCCTTGTTCAAAGGGAAAAAAATTCCTAAAAGATTAAAAATATTCACTGACTTGGGCAGATTTTGACTTGTAGTTGGCTATAACAACAGAAAATGACACTTGTGAAAACTAGTCTGAATATTTCTTAAAATATATATCTAAATTCCGAAGTTCTTTGAATCTGGCACTGTTTGAAAAAGTTATCCAAGTACTTTTTGGGGACCAGAAGTGGTTTGGTGCTTGTGAAGTTAAGAGGTTGTTTTGACTGCCTGTTGGCAATGCATATGCTGGGCCAAGTCATCAGCTGTGCTGTAAATACTTTCAGTGTTGAGCTCAGTGGATTTTTGTTAAAAATTGCCCAGCCAACAGTCACTGTCAATGTTTATCGATTACTGAAATTGCATTCTTCTCTTCCAATTATCGTTTATAACCCATCAGTGTTAGGTAATTTAAGCATCTCAATGATGTCATAATGCCGTTATTTTTATTCTCTTTGCAGGAACTGATAACTACTCTCTACATTGGATTTCTGGGCCTGATTTTTTCCTCTTATTTTGTATACCTGGCCGAGAAAGATGCTGTAAATGATTCTGGAGAAACAGAGTTTGGCAGCTATGCAGATGCCCTGTGGTGGGGAGTAGTAAGTATAGCAATTTCACGTGTGCTGAAAGTGGTTAACATTGTCCAGTGTGGAGTAAAATTCAAGCAAGTGTGGAGTAAGAACATCACTTTGAAATGGCTTCTTACTGCTTCAATACACTTTCTGGTTTTGTAATTCTGTGAAACTATGAAAATACTGTAGATGATCAGGAGTTTCATTTGGTGTTTGTAGTCTTATGAGATCCAAAATGATCAGATTATGTATCAAAAATTTAGAAACATGCGTTCTATTTTTTATCCTCTCTTCCCTACTGTTACAGTGATTACTTCTTGCTACCTTTCTCATGGTAGTGTTCAACTGTCTAAGACGGTAAGAGTCTTCCTAAATCACAGTTGGGGTTTTTCTGGGGGGTAGTGTTTAGGCTTTCTTTTTCCCGTCTTTGTTGTTGTTTGGTTTTTTTTCCCCCTAAAGCAGATATCTATGTTTTGCAATTTGATCTGTGACGGTAATTCCCAGTTCATTAAGGGACTAATTCCAGAGCAAGAAGCATCTAAGATACTTGGGAAATCCAGTCACAGGACTCTTCTGAAGTGTTTATATTGCTTTGGAAACCACATAGTATCCTTATTTGGCATTTGCCTGTGCTGTATCCACACACCATCTTGTTTAGAGATTTCTTTGGTTTCTCTGAGGTGCTGCCACACTTTGGTGTAGATGTATTTTTAGCTCTGCTAATAAAGTTCTGCTTTCTTGATGTTGCTAGTGACAGTTGTCTCTCTGTTTTCATTTATTATGTGTACTCTCTATAGTGAGGCAGCTCTATTCTGGGATTATATTTTTTTCAACATTTTAATTTTGTTTCTTCTGCAATAGTAACAATTCCCTCTTTTTATTTTCTCACATGATACACACATACTGGGTTGGCTGTTTTATTCTGGGATTTCCTGTCTGTAATTGTTTCCCTTTCCTTTTCATAGTACAGTTCAAAGAAAGGTACTTTCTGGAAGCTGTTTTTCCTTATCATTAGCATTCAAGCAATGACTTGTTTTTATCTTCTTTAATTCTATTACCTTAATAAAACAAACCATCATCATTTTAAGTGCTACAGATCTTTAAAATGCATAGGCATCACTAATGATACCATGCTTGCATTTTCAAAATGTGCTGTTCTTCTAGAGCTTTTTCTGTGTTGCTTTAAATCAAAAGGCATTGTTTTTCTTTATTTTTTTTTGTTAAAAATAAGACTATAATAAGTCATATGTACAAGAATGATAGGGCTAACACCTCTGTTTCACTAATAAAAAAAATATATATATAAGAATATATATTAAGAAATATTTTTAATAAAGTTCTGTGTGTCTGTGCTAATATAGTCTTCTCTCTACAAACAGTACCACTTACTGTTTCAGGATCTATTGATGAGCAAGTCCTGGTGCTGAAATGCATGTGTAGCCCTTTTTGAATACAACAGATTTTGTTGTATTGTTTTGCTACTGTGATCTGCTGCAGGATTCTTTCTTCTTGCTGTCTGCCATGGTTAAATACAGGCTTTCTTAGGATCAGAGGACTTAATGTGTAGCACAGGGAAGTGGCTTTCTCTCAAGTAGCTTTTTCAATGCTTTCATGTCATTATGGCATTTTTATTTTCCACTACAGCGGTCAGATGACTCAGTAATTAACAGTGGCAGATGTAGCTGCATTTAAAAACACATGCTGTCATTGGCGTAGCCATTAAAAATTGAGTATGTGACAGACCAGATTGGCTGACTAAAAATACAGTAAAACCTTCCACAGAAGCAACACGATCTGTCAGGATATTGAAATATTCTCCTTTCAGGGAATTATTGCTCAGTTAGGCATGCCAGTTATTTTTTCTTACTAATTGCAGTAAACTTCTTTAATCAATAAATTTAATTACCATAATATTCTTTCTCTCTTATAGCTTCTACTGTGTTGCAGCATTCCACTTCAAGTGTGAGACTGCATTCAGAACACATAGTGTAATTTCTTTAATATTAAAAGTAGAATTTAGTGTTCTTTTCCTGCTCTGATATGTCTCTACTAACTGCTAAAAAAGCTTTAGCAGAACAAAACCGAAATGGATTCGATTCCATCCATATCTGGTGTTTTGATACTGTAATACTCTTCATGCTTTCTGCTAGGAAAGAGCCCTATAAGGTTAGGATAGTGAAGAAGTTAGCCCAGAGAAGTTGTGGATGCCCCATCCCTGGAAGTGCTCAGGTCCAGGTTGGATGGAGCTCTGAACAACCTGGTCTAGTGGAAGGTTGGAATTAAGTAGTGTTTAAGGTTCCTTCCAACCCAAACCATTCTAGGATTCTATGCATAACTGGGAGGTCACAAGAAGTTTTCCTAATGAGGGTCTAAACTCATACAAAAGCCTTCTCAAAGTGTTAAATCACAAAAGCTTTGGTTATGTTTTAGCCAGAATTTTCTGAATCGCTCAAACACCAGAAATTCCGGTCACTGAAAACCTGTCTCAGTCTGTTTTGAGCTGAACATGTGGAAGAGGACAATTCACAGCTCCTGTCTCATACACTGTCATAGATGGGTGATCCATCTGGCAACGCAGCTGATCTCACTTCTCTGAAAGTGCACTTGCCTTACCTAGTAGATAATGCTTCAAAAAGTCCTTGTTAGTGTTTTCACAGCCCTTTTCTCACTCTACAGTGTTGCCCTTTGTTGTTATCTCAGTGTATGTGTACACGGCTAAACAAGTTCTTTGGGCAGCAGTAATAGAACTCGTAATATAGCTGAAATAAACCATATAAAAGGTCTGTGTTACCACAGCTAAACTGCATCTGGAATTGTGCATTTTTATATTACTGTGCTTTGCTGACTATAGGCATACCCATAGGGTTCATAACTTCTAATTAAATGTTCTTCATTGTCGTTATTTATAAATCTGTATTGCTTTTCCATTTTCATATGTAAATTGGCCTCCTGGACTTCATTTGAATTTCCTTGAGAACTCTGGGCTGTAGCTATTCACCAAGTCAGTTATGGACTTCTTGAAGAAACCTAAGGTTATCTTATGGCATAAAGATTTGTCTATATTATTGCTGGTTTTGAATGCAGTGCAAGTTGTATAAATAATTCTGCCAGTGGCTACATATCTGCATGTCTTTCAAAAGACAAATGTAGTGTTAGCAAGTAAAATACAAGTAACGTGATGCATCTTTCAGCTCCCCAGTGCCAGTATTCAAAATTAGTCTGCTTATGTCATCCTTCATGTCCGGACTGACAGTCTTAAAGACCTAATATAGAGGGACAATAAAACCATGAATTAATTAAAAACAAAATTAAAAAAGATGCTTTAAAAAAATATTATAATTGCTCTCATTGAATCTGTCAGAGACAACTATCTTCAGAGAATGTTACCTGCTCACTGCCTCTGGGGGCTTTGTGGATTTCAGTGTTTTGTTTATGGGTTTTTGTTTTGTTGTTGTTGGGTTTTTCTCACCCCTTCCTGAAGCTTCCCCCCTCCTTTAGCATTCATTTCAATCATGCCCAAGACCAAGTGAGAATAGTTCTTCTTTTGATATCCACTGAACGAGTGCACAATTTCCAACCTTCACACTGGAACAAACATCCTTCAGGAAAACCATTATGTGGACCGTGCTAACAGTCTCTTTGATCATGAGCACTATTTGCCACAAGCAATTATTGAATATAGCCATGCATGGATATTACACTGTGCCAGTTGCTTTCAATTGAATCAAGCAGTTTTCTGCAAGTAACAGCTTTGGTTAAGAATTTCTTGTGCCTTTAATTTTTATAGATTAGAAGATATACTTTCTCACTAAGGACCAAATTCAACAAAAAATTTACAAGTTTGCTTACTTCTAAACGTGCATAAAACCATGTCTTATTTAGCAAAGCCTATCATTATGTACTTATTGTAAATTCAAAATCAAAACTGGGGGACAACTTTGCTGAAAAATTGCAGGAAATACCACTTGAAACTCCATAAAACTCCATAAAACTCCATAAAACTTTTGCTAAATTAGAAGAAATCTAGTTTTATTTATAAAATAGTTGCACATAAGTTTTAAAAATAGCTTCATAAAAGAGATCTTGTGTTATTCAGAACCCTTTTTCCCCCTCGTCTTAATTAAAAAAGCCATTGAGGACTGTATGATGACTTCAGTGTTTGACAGAAGTTTTTAATCTCTACATGGTTTACAAGTCAAGAATACCAACTATAGACCTATTATATCCTTTTATTTTTTTTAATTATAATTTTTGGAATTACGGGTTTGAGTTTTTATGAGGGAGCTGATTATTTTAGGAATTGTTGGAGCAGCGATTGAAAGATGAAGATATTTTAAAATGCTTTTTGCATGCCATCTCTTCATTTTGCAGCTGCCTTCTCATCTCTGAGCTTTAACTCCATGAGCAGCTCCAACTACATTTTGTTCTTATTCAATGAAGATCTTTGGGGTAGATGTGGAGAAACCTTTTAAAATTGTTACTTACAAAGTACAGATGTAGATTTTCTTACATCTAGGGAACACTCTTGGGGTTTCTTTTCCTAATTCTCAAATCTTTAAACCTCTATCAAAAGATAACAAGGAGGTAGGAACAAAAATTTTATCTAGAAGAATACAGAATTAACAGTTGTTTTTCATTTGATGAAACAAAGTATTTCAAAAGAGAGATAATTTTCCATGTTGGAATCTAGAAAAAATAATGATAATAAAAGAATTTAGCTTTCATTTAAATTTCAGTAATTAGCACAAGTTGTGCTCCTGTTGAAATGGGTTTTTTAAAAGACTCTTCTTGTTTATCTCTGTGATCTCACAAGTATAGATGTTTAGTTTGGACCACCTTTTGATTAGGAGATTTAGAGTGAGCAATAATTTGTTTGGAACTGGCAATGACTGAAAAATGACACCTTGAGGAGGTATTAAACTAAGATCCAAAAGCAATGTTTAGGCAACACTGAGGATATATTATTAGAGAGACATGACACTGAAGTTAATGTATTCTATTTGCTGTGTTTGCAACTGGATGTGCAGTTCCATTTCATTCCATATCCTAAGTTATTAGAAGTGTTTCAGTGTCCTTCAGATGTGGTTATGTCTCATTCATGTACTTCAGTTGCATCGAGAATGATGGTGTGAGCCTGCAATGATAACTGCATGAAAATGACTTTGAAATTTTAAGGAGAAGAAGAATCCAAACATTTCCTTCACATGTTTGTAATTGTAGTGACAAGGAAGTCCTTTTTTCAGCTTTGCATTGCAATTTTAATTCCAGTGTTTCAAAATATTTGTGACCTGTAGAACAGTCTCTTAGCTTGTTCATTTGAAGGATGTAGCTTGTATTTTCGCAGAGTGCTGCAATGCACATAGAGGTGACTAGGATCGGAAAGAAGAATTTCAGTTGTGTGAATCTGTTCTTATCATGAACATCTTTACGTGTACAAGGAAGAAGAATATTGCCATTTGGAAAAGAATTCAAAATCCAGAAAGATCAGCAGGATTTTTTTTAGCTTTATATAGCATACTTCACAGTAAAATAAATGCAGGACATCAATCTGTTTGCACTTGTGCTGCCGGGGTTTCAGCAGCTTGGAAAGTTTGTACGTTATATTCAACCTGCATGAACGCAGTTGACTGAATAAGATGTCAAGAAATGGGCTTCTAATGTGTTTGTAACACCTAGGTGTAGAGAAGAGCATTTGGACTGTTCTGAAATTTACTGTAGTTCAGTTGAAATGGAGTCAGGGAGCTGGTCAATGTTTCTGGTATATGGCTGAATGTTGCTCTTGTATTATTTGCTTTAGTCAAGATGGGTTTTGTAAGTGGATCAGAAAATTCTGAGTCGTGTCTGGTATGCAGAGCAATACCTAGTGCAATTGATTTTGAAGTTGCAGTACTGTAAATTTAGAAATGAAGTAGATAAGGTGTTTTCTATTAGGTGACTTTCCCTCATTTGCTTTAATGCTTGGCTTTTTTAATCCTTAACCTTGTGTTTGCTTCCTCAGTGCTGTGTTGTCTGCCTTTTTAATATCTCAGAATCATGCATTCTTCTATTTTATAGCTATGTAACTATCCAAAATTTTGCAAGGCACACAGTAAGAATTTCATCAACAGAATATCCTTACTTACCTGATTAATTTCCTGTACTCACTTTAGGCTGATATAAGCTAGATTAAAATCCCTTTCCTATTCAGTGCAGATGAACATTACTATTTCTTCTTCCTGTGTGGGTTTTTGCTTCATATTCTCTCCTTCAGACTATTGATGCATATTTAATAGGAACAACATTAGTCTTAATACCAAAGTCTGTGATGATGTTCATCCGATCAAAGTTCTAAAATAGTCAGTGGATGAAAATGATTTTGTTCCTAATTAAAACAATTGTTTTACATGTTACTTTTCAATGAAATTTAATGTGTGAGCTCTTGTATCAATTTAATTTCATCATACCAACATGTTTACTATGCTAGAGTGGAATTTGAGTCAGTATTTCCATTATAATATCTTATTTTATAAATGTAAAATTAGTATTGTACTCTTTAGGGGGTTATAATCTGGCTGTAAAAAATCATTTAGGGCAGAAACTCGGCATGCAAGGTTTCAGCAGCATGTATTTTGGGGAAAAAGAAAAGGATCTACAATGAATTTGTAGATGGTTTAGAGTTAAGAGGGCAGAGGAAAATGTTAAATTAAATGCACACTTTAATTTGCAACCTAATTTCCAAGATGCTTTTTAAAAACCCTCCTAAACAAACATCACAGGAAATACTTTTCTTGTGTCACTGATGATTCACACAGACCAATTCAGAAGGGATTGGCAGGGGTGTGGTGGCAAAGGGGAGACAATCATTTCTTAGATGTATATGAATTATTCTTCAGTTATGCTTTAGTCAGCTCAAAAGCACCTATTTATTTTTACATTTCTACTTAATTAACATGATTTGAAGACTGTAACACAGAATATTTGGTAAAATTTTTCAGTTACAAGGGTTTATAATTTTTTTTCAAAAATGAAGGAATAAACAACGATTTTCTCTAATAATCTTTTCTGTAAGAAGGTATTGGCGGCCATAACTTTTCCTATAATTATATTTCCTTTTTTTATACTGTATTTTTGAACGTGAAATTGTAATTAGACTTCGGAATTTTTTTTTAAGCCACCCTCTTATGTAGGTAAGGAGATAACATTGCCCCTTCAGCCCCTCATCAGGTCTTGAATTAAAGTGGTATTTTAATAACAATTTTGGGGAATACAAGCAAAGGAACTTGGGTACTTACCTTATTTAAAGTACTTCTGTAGAGTATGAAACAGTTTTGTAAATATGCCATATTTTAAAAACTTGTATTAAAAATTAAAAACCAATTCTTGAATATTTTGAGTATCGGCAACTGGCAATAAACTTGCAATAAACATCACCACCTCAAGCAGCTAAAGCTGCCCCTTTGTCATGTGTTTGGCTGACACATAATGATTTTGCTTAGAGGAGGGTGGACAGTTCAAGTATGGATGGCTTGCTTTGTGTGTTTGAGGTACATCCCAGGTCAAAATTTACATACACAGGATTTTCCTCTCATCTTTTAGTAGGAATGGAGAATTGTTAAAGTGGGTGACAGCCATACCTTCCCTGAAGTTCTTGGCATGAGCTTTTATTTCCCCAAAGACAAGTTCTGCGTCCCTTCACCCCCTAAACAACCATCTTGCCTCTATAAATCTGCCCTTCTGTCCTCAAGTAGAGATGTTGCCCTGGGCATTGCCTGCATTTCTGCAGTTGCTGGGTAGTGTGTGTTAGAGCAGACAGGTAGGTGAACTAGCTGCAGGACAGGGTGGGAATGGCCTGTGTATGTTACTGTGGGACAAACTTCTGTGTCCTGGGCAGCTGAAGGCCCATATTGTCAGAAGAAAGTCTGAGCAGCCAGTAATTGAGGTGAGCTTCAACTGCTTTAGAGTGTGGTTTCCCATGCTCTGATCTGGTTAGCCTTCTTCGAAGTCACAGATAAAAATCTTTCCAGTTTCCAAATTCAGAAATAGCTGGTGGAATAGGTGAATTTAAATTGCTCTCAGATGCCAGATGTATCCTTCTGCTTCAAACAAATACATTCTTTCCTTGAGCTCATGCAAATAATTACTTTTTAAGCCTTGCTATGCTGCATCACTGTGGTGGTAATCTTTGCTTCAGTGTTTTGAAAGGCAAAACTCAGCAGATGTTTCCTGCATGTGTGCTTTAAATTATCTGTTCTTGCTCTCAGTGTTTTATATGAATTGATGATTCATGAGACTGTTTTCAGGATCTTTACTACATGGAAATTTTTCAGCTTCTCTTGCTATTTATACCGATATTATCTCTAGAACGCTTGATGTCTGACCCCAGGCATAGTGCATGGTTACAGTATATGTTTGCTCTTTTTATGCAACAGCCCTGTAATACTTTCAGCAAACATCTCATGCCCATAAACAAAATCACCAGTTCAGAACTGTTGGCAGCCTTTCCCTTAGGAAAGTGTGTGACATGGGCAGGCAGCCTATATCCCAGTAACTTCATATGCTGTACCGTTGCCTCAGCCATGAAGACATAAACTAATGGTTTTACATTGGAAGATTTTAAACATGTATCTTGTTGTAATTCAACTTCCTTTATGTTTTTCCATCTGGTATTAGATGGGGAAGCAAACCAGGAGAGAAGAGTTACCTTCACTAGTCTCACACAGTGTGTCACTGGAAGAGTTAGGAATGCAGCTAATGTTTCTTTAAAATACATACAAAAGGAAGAGAGAACAACAACCCAAAACTGCCATGTTAATACTTGCTGTAATACTCTCTATATTTCTCTTTGCAGGTGACTGTTACAACTATTGGCTATGGAGATAAAGTGCCTCAGACTTGGATAGGAAAGACCATTGCATCTTGTTTTTCAGTATTTGCAATTTCATTTTTTGCACTACCTGCGGTAGGTTATCTTGTACTTTTGCTGTCAGTTTGGTGTTGATTCGTTAGTCATCAGAGGAAACTTTTGTTCCTGATTCTTTAACCTTTCGTTTAATCTGATATCATGAAAGCTTTGTATTAAAATTTTATATTGTATTTGAAATATATGTGCTTGTAGAAAGTAACTAAGTAAATATGCAGTGTATTTGTCTGCAACACTAGGTTTGGGATGTCTTTGAGAAAAAGATGTTTAATTCAATGTACTTTTTCTGCCCATCTCAGAAGTGTAAAGGAAGTTATTTCTAATTACTTCTAGACTCAGCGACTTGGCAATGTTTTGGCTTTTTAAGGCATTCCCTCATAGTTTACTCAATTGATTAGGTCCAAGGTGAACTGTAGAGTTCTCATACACATCCTCCTTCTAGAAAAGCTGACTAAAAAGTGTCACTGGCAGAGAGACAACAATCAGCAGCCAGGGACACTGATGCAGTTCTTTGCCAAATTAGCATCTGTCCATGGCCAAAGTCCCATTTTCAAAAGTGACCTAGAGCTGACCTTTTAAACTGTTATGGCACTTTGTTTGCACTGAAAACAGGTTCCCAAATACTTTCAAACAAGAAACAAGGCACTTGAGTACCAAGGGTAAATTCACAGTCAGCAAAACCTAAGCTGTGGTTTGAAAACACAAATATTCAGTGCCAAGGGTAGTTAAGGGTATGTTTTTCACAAATTCAGCAGTATCCCTGAATTGTGCTTTTAAAATGTTTGTGCCACCTGAAACTTGTGGTTAAAATGATTTTTTTTCTGCAGGTCTTTCAGTTCAATGACAAGGACAATTGTGTTTGCAGATATTTGTGTAGTTGTGGCAGAGAAGTGGTGGGGATAGTACAAGGTGGACGAGAATACCTTTACGCCAGTACCTTCACAAAAATTCTTCACAATGTGAAATAATAGCTACTAAAATTCCAGTGGCTTTTTTAAATTAGTTGCTTACTTTAAAGGTACATAACCTTTTGCAGAGGAGGATAATTAAGTGTAGTTTTTTAAACTCTCCAGCATCAATTTGCTATTAGAGCGTATGTTTCTCCCCTCCTCATTCTAATATCTTTCACATTTATTTTAGAAGAGAGATCTGGTAAATGAAATGATTTGTATGAAAAATGCCCAAAGCTACTTTTTTTTGACTGAAGAGTGGTGGTGGTGTGTTTATTTGTTTGTTTGTTTTGGTAGGCTTTTTAAAATCAGACTTGAATGCCAGCAAAGGAGTTTTATAAATGATTGTGTGGCAGCCATGCCTTCACAGCCGTGCTTTATGTTTGCCTGTCAGATTTCCCTAATCTTTGTTGAAGTAAAACAACAACAAACACCCCTTTATCAGTGGGATTTTCTTTACTGAATTAAGTTGTTCTTGTGAGTTGGCCCAAGGGGGGAATTTAGGGTTTGAAGATCTGTTGCATGCTGTCTTGTTGCCATTTTAAGTAAGGGGATCTGGCTGAGATCACAGTCAAAAGTAATTGTTGTGGCTAAATGCAACTGGTATGGCTTCTGGATCTAGAAATGATCCTTCATTTCCCAAATATGTGATGTTTGAGCATCATTTTACCTCTTTGATCTTTACTAAATGAATGTAAGAGGAAGGGCATTTCTTGTTCCTTTCAAAATACTTGATGATTAATACAGTTCTTAGAGGTTGAGCCAAGATCCCTGGCTGCTCTGATCCTTCTGCTATATGTAGAAAAAGAATTATGAGTAGGTGTAATCATGTAAGCTGATTTATAGAAGATTTCATTTTTACCTGTGTTAATAAAACTTGTGTTAAATATGTCTATAACTGTTCAAATCACTACATAAATGACTTGGTCTTTACTTAAATTTGGACTTCATAGCTGCACTACATTTGGAGTCTAGTTCAGGTGGTACACCATCCAGTGCCGTTAGTCCTTGTCCTGAGAGTGAATTGGGTGGGCTTGTGTCAAACTCACTGAAGTTCTGACCATTTTGAAATATGCATTTTCCTCTTCTTCATCCTCTCTCCTCCCCTCCCACCATGGATTAACATATGGAAATAGAAATTACCATACCACACGACCTGAATCATGCCATGCCAAAGCTTACTTTCTCATAAAAATGAAGTTAAGCACATCAGGTTGATATTTTTCCCTATTCTGTTATTCCCCTTCACAAGCATTTGTGAGGCTTTTAGAGGGTATGAAATATAATTTCTGCTTCCTCTTAAGGAGCTGAATCCAACAGGCTTTCCATCAGAGCATGGTAGCATTCACTGTTCGTTTCAACAAGTAATAATAACTGAGTCTAAAAACTTTGCTGTATTAAGTCATTTCCTCTAAATAATTAGTTGGATTTTATGATGCTGAATAGAAGTTTATTAATACAACAAAATTTGGCAAGCTTATGTGTGGTTCTTTCCTCCCCTTAAAAAAAAAATAAAAACAAAAATAAAAAGTGTGTTTTCTTTCCACAGGGAATTCTTGGTTCAGGCTTTGCCCTAAAGGTACAACAGAAACAAAGACAGAAACATTTCAACCGTCAAATTCCAGCTGCTGCCTCACTCATACAGGTACTGAGTTCCTGCATATTGCATACAGTCATTTCTTTCCATTTATAATACTTTTTTTCCCCCAAACCATTGGCACTTTTTCCATGCCTGATTCCCATTAAAAACTGTACAGGAGTTACAGATGCAAGTTTTGGAAATCCAGCCTTTAATGTAAACTAATGAGCAAAAAAATACACTTCCAAATTAGTGCAAACTCTTTAATTCAGCTGGTTAAAATCAAAACTGAAGGCTACCCAGTAATTATTAAACAATTTACCTGGGGAAAAAGTTATGAATTATCATGCTTGTAGTAGTGAAAAAACAGAAAGGAGGCTTCATGTAAAACTGTACTTTTAAGAAGTTGCTGCTTGTAAAGACAAATGTCAAATATGTTTCGGTTTCCTTGGGACAAATAAATTCTTAAAAATCTCAAATTTAGGAGAAATAAGTGAGAATGGTAAATAGGAAGTCTTGTTTGGACTTTTCAGCTACAGGATAGGTGCCTGAGAACCACTGGGATTCTGCAAAATCAGCCTTTTCATGTAGGATAACTTTCAGGCAGGAAAATATTGATCCCATCTGTTATAAATGCAGGTGCAGTTCAGTGTCAGTATGGTCAATGAGATTTTATCCTTTACTTCCTTGGAGCCAGCATTGCACCCTGTAGAAGTATTAATATTATTTCATTCTAGGTTTTTCTAATTTTTTCCTCCCTCTGCTCAGTATCTGCATATAGCTTTAGAAGCACAGAGATCAAATTTAAAAGAAGACTAGATGTACACCTAAGCCATACGATTTTTGCATTCTCATATGACTTATTTTTCTGGCTTCATGAGTCAATGTGGATTTCCAGGTCATGATCTTTATGGAAACAGTAGCTAACTGTAAAGTTTATGCTTTAAACTAAACAGTTCCAGAGTTAATGTGAAAAAGACTCTGATTATAGCCAGAGATTAGCCAAAAATTGTGAGACTCATATCGTATGGTTTTATAAAGAATGGATTTTTTTAGTGTTCCCGCTGATTCTTTTGGGAAATCGACACCGAATTATTGGGAAGCCTGAGACTGCATGTCCAGAATGTTGTACTTGCCTCCATCAGAAATGTTAAGGAGGAGTAGAGGACAGACAATGACTTGCTGACTACCTGTTCTTAATAGTAGTAATTATGATTTAATCATAGTCTTGAATTTCTGAAAGCCCAATGTAATAGATGTTCTACAAATAACTTTTAAAAAGATTATTCTTGAACCAAGATGTTTACAAAATAAGTACAAGATGAGAACATCTCAGATGAGTGATTTTCTTTCCCTGTATTCCTTCTTGTTTTCTTCTAGAGGCCAGTTGTTTCTTCCAGTGTCCTATTAACCATGGAGGGAATTATATGGTGATTGTCTGATCCTTTACTTTCCAACTGCTGTCTGTTTTCCTCTGTCATTCTGCCCTGCTTTGTTTCTTTCATCTAGTGTTTTCTGGCCTTTCCTCCTCTAGATTTTGTTTGTGTATACGTGTCCTTTTTTTATGTAGTGTGCAAGTGGGGATCTGCCTTTTTAATTTGGAGAGTAACTATTAATCAACTCAGATATGTTTAGACATTTAAGAAAGAATACAGTAGTGTTTTGTCTTGTGTTGTTCTTGTTTTCTAGCCCTGCTTGTCCTCCTTTTTGTCTTAGAATGTGGTACTTTAATCATTGTGGCTGACAAGAGAGAGGATTGGTTTTGGGGTTTGGTTCCTAGTTAGCCACTGGTACTATTCCATTGTGCCATCAGGTTCATTTCTTCATATGAATACAGCCCTACTGATCATATCACAATTCCTTTTTTTTTCCTGGTAGTACTCTTGTGAGGCATGGAAAAACAATTCTTGTTTTTTTCTGAGTAAGAGCCTGAAACACAGAATGCAATAGGTAAAATGCTGGAAGTCAGGTAGGGAAACTGGGGCAGAGTAAGAAGTTGAATCCAGTCTAGAGTTCTCTCTCATTATTTGTTTGTTGCTAATGAGAACAAAATTGCACTTGAAAAGACTGATCTTTCTTTCTGGTTTGCCCAGTTCTAACTGTGTGGTTTGTGTTTACTAAATAAGGGTTCTAAACCATGCTGAGTTTATGTTTCCAGTGGGCAAATTCAAGAATAAAAATAAACAAAGAATGACTAATGTGATATTTGGAAATTACTGTGTTGTACAATGAGGTACTAATGTAATTGATTAATTATTCCATTGCTTAAAACATTTGTTCTAGACTGCATGGAGATGCTACGCTGCAGAAAACCCAGACTCTTCTACATGGAAAATATACATTCGAAAACCTGCCAGGAATTACCATTTGCTGTCACCCAGTCCAAAACCAAAGAAATCGGTGATGGTATCAGTAACTAATGTTTCCTATTAGAGTAATTAAAAATTTTTAAATTAGATTGAATTTGCTCTAGAGACTGTTTGTTTTGTTTGTGTTACAGATTATTATGTGGTTTCAAATTTTTATTTACATTTCGGTTTTTACAGTTTCAGTATATAGACATCAGAAACTATAAGTTAATTTGCTTCAGTTCCCCAAACTTGACTTTTTAAATGGATCTGTGGGTTTGGAAAAGAGTAATAATGACCTAACTGAGGCACATCGATCAGTAACTTACTGTTATTGTTTGGAAAACTATAAGGAAAGTGAAAAAAAAAAGTCCCAACGGATTCCATAAGTTAAAATTTTGTTTAAAAACAGCAACAAAAAAAACTTTATCAGAATCTTTAGATTAAGTAATACTCTGTCCTCTCTGTTGTAAAAGTATTGCACAGTAATCTCAAGATGGAAGGGGAGGATGTTGTGCAGAAATCTTCCCTTGTATTTCCAAGGGTCATCTGAGTTCAGTAGCAATATATCCATTTACTTTTTGCTGAGGGTATGATTTATTGCATCCATAAAATGGTAAAGATATTCTAGAATAGTTTGATTTATATGAGCTGCTGCAGAACTAGTAGATTTTTTTTTTTTATTGCAGGCAAGGGATTTGGTAATGACAGTGTGAAGAATTCTAGTTTTAGCAGGATGAGGGAGCCAACGTAATGAGAAACACAGGATAGCATAATGAAAATGTAATTGGTCAGGAACTCTTTTAATTGGTTATAACTCATTGGGGACTGCATTGTTATTGAAGACGTTACTGAAGAGACAACTAAATGTAGCTTGGTTTGAGTAATTTAATGTATGTGGGTTTTTTAGGTTAAAAAGAAGAAATTTAAGTTAGACAAGGACAATGGGCCTTCTTCTCCAGATAGGATGTTGACTATACCACACATCACTTATGACCACGTGGCGGAGGACAGGAAACCTCATTTCAATTTTGAAGCGTATGAAAATTCTGGTAAGGAGTTCCATTATAAAATGCCATTAATTGTAATGGCTTCTATTATTAGATTTACACACAGGTCCTTTTTAATATCTGTAGGGGAGAGGGACAGAACAAGCTCTTGTCATTCTAAAGGAAGAATACTTTGCTTTTTGATTTTGGTTGCTGGCTTGTCTGGATGAGATTTAACCATCATTTTAATGAGCATGCTCCACTGCAGACAAACTAAATCATTTGTCATTTCTGCCTGCCAGAAGAGCTACTGACTCTGGGGCTGGTGCACACATTCCCCAATTCTGCAACTGATTGAAACTACAGGGATTAGCTGTCAGCCTTTCCATGTGAAATTTACCCAGGATGTGTTAGTATTGTGCTTGTACCTGAACCAAAAAGGACTGACATGTCTTGGCTGCACTGAACATAGCCTGCTACATGAAACCATCATGTGCTCCTGCCATCTGCTCAGTGGAGTAGGCTGTGAATCAACTTTTGAAAGCAGAAGTACTTAAGATAAATGTGGATCCATCTGTATTAAGTGTCACTGTACACTGTACCATTGTACAGTGTGAGGAAAAAAGAAAGAACTTTGATAATCATCTTATAATTAACAGCTTATTTATATTTCTTTTTGCTCTAATGAACTTCCAAGTTAAGTCTGAATTTACAATGTGGCTTTTTTACCTTTATTAGAAGGTTTTAATGTGTATTGCTCAAATTTTGGCAACAAGATTAAGGTTTAATTTTTAAGATGTGTTTTATTGATTGCAGATACCTTAAGTACTTATGTTTTTTTCTGCTCAAACATTTGACTGACGTGATTAAATTTAATGACCTTCAAAATAAGATAGCAGTGTGGGCTGGCATGAGGCATATTTTAATTTCGGCAGAAAGGCTCACTTTCAATGTACTTTTTTTGTGTGCTTCTCTCACATTTTTCTGCATCATCCATACTTTTCCACTCTTTCTTGGCCTCTGTTAAGGCATGATTGCAAATTTCATCTGGTGGTAGAAATGTTAAAAGGTGGACAAGTACTGAGCTGAATGTGTCTCAGAATTTGAGTACAGACACCTTTCTTCAAAACAATCAAATGGAAGCACCTTACAAATGCTTAGATTCCACCTTTTATCATTAAATTTCTAAGCTGATTAAGGACAATATGATTTGCTGGCAGCCTACTACTGCCATTTCAAAAATCAGCTCTATACCTTTCAGTAGAAGGATTTTCTGTAATTTCTTCTGACGCTTATCTTTTTTCTTTTTTATCTGCGTTCTACTTTCTAAACTGTTACAAGTATACAGGACAAACAGGAATGTTAAAATTGCTTGGTAAGTTGAGGAAAATAATTCTATTTATGGCATGCCAGCTTATGACAGTGTAATGTTTGCAGTGCTTTTCATGTGTGTCTAGTGCCATATAGTTTCTAAAAACTCTTCTGCAGCCAAGGAGATCTAGACAGACAAAAACATACATTCTAACGCTTGTAATCACAATTGCACCCACAGTTTCATTACAAAGAGAAAAGTGAGCACTCATTTATATAAATAGGTGATCTCTAGTGGGTTCCTTATAGTTGAGAAAAATTGCTCATGTATATATAAACAATAAAAAAACCAATTTGCCTATAAATAAAGCATAATTTATCCAGTAGTTAGCTGAGCATATAGATGAGAATTAATTTTTAAATAAATAGATTAGGTGGAAGAAAGCTTTCAGATTTGAGCCCCAATGCTGTGCATTCTGAAGTACATGCTGTAAAAATGTGCTGTAGACATTTGTGAACAAATGGGGACCCATAAATTAAATAATTTATTTTACTGTTTGTCTGGATTCTGTGATCACTTAAGCAGCCATGTAGTCCTGTGATGTTTCTAATGTGCTTGCTTAGGCACTTTCTTAACAATTGAGTGTTCCCCAAAGATTGTAGGACTGGAGCTAGGCCTGGGCAAAAGACCTCTGTGATTTAGTGAGAGTGCTGTGAGCCACCTGTAAGTTTTCTGCTCTGAATCCAATAGATTCAGAGGACAATAGAGGCTTCTTTTCAGTGATCAGGTGCAAGGATGCTCATGCTTAGATCAAATTGTCTGAAAATACAAGGTTCAGTTTCTCCTCTGAACCCACATGGGACACAGGTGCAAATAAGGTGGTAAAACAGCGAAAACAAACTGAACCTCCTTAACTGCCCCTGATTTGCCCATTTTCCAGTTTCCACTCTTCTCCTGTGTTCCAAGAGGTGCATCTCTGTTGGGGGTCAGCATGGTGGAACAAAATCAGGAGAGCAACAAGAGACACCAAGTCACTGTTTTACATGAACAAGAAATTCTTTCATCTTGGAGAAATATCAGAGGAGCTTTGCCAGCCATCATAGGTTCAGTTTGTATTTCCTAGCCAGGCAACCTGAGCTCAGTGGACCTGAGAGATTGCCTAACACTGTTCTCACAGCAACTCAAAGAAATAAAGAGGAGAGAGCGTAATTGTACTTACTGTCAATAAGATTACCTACACAGAAAACTGAAGCTCCCAAATCAAAAGTTCAGAAAAAAAAAAATTAGGAAGTACAAGAATACAAGGCTGCTCATTCAGCTTTAATTTGGCCTTCAGAAAGACTAGTCACATATCCATATGCTACTTTCTCATATTCAGTAAATTTATAGACTGCCCACTTATACTTCAGTCTTCACATTCCTGAATCCTGCATCTGGCATCCCTGTCAGTATCCTTGGGCAACCAAAGATTTCCAGCTTTCTCCCCCTTCCTTCTTTCTCCTGGCTTTATCAGTTCAGCAAAGACCCAAGAGCATGCTGTTGTGGTTTAAGAATGGTACTCCCCAATGTAGTACTTGCACTGAGACTCTCCAAACCCCTGAAATCTGGCCAGAAGATAGCTGCACTGTGAACAGTAGGAACCAGAGCAAGAGAGGTCTGACCCGTATGAGGCTGGACACTCAGAAAAGTCAGGAAGAAAGGGGCAAACATAGATTGCTTTCCTCAAAATGGAACTGGGATGTAGGGAGGAATGTCTTGCAGCAGGTGACACTGTTGTAAAGAATGGGTTTGGAGAGGCAATGATGCCTCCTCAGTGGCGATTTAATATTCTGCTAATGTGCACTGTAGTAAAGTTTCATACAAACTCTTTTCCACAGTTTTTTTTTGTGTCAGGTAGAACATACTGTATTTTATGTATGTCTCCATCTCCTCAGCTGCCTGTCTGGAGCTTTTTTCTTTTTTTTTTTTTTTCCCCCTCTCTTCTATCTCTGTTTCATGTGCATCTTTACTCTGACTCAGATTGTCAGCGCTCCTGGCCATCCTTTTCCGCAGACCAGCAGTCTTCCAGTGCTCCTTCCTCTCCAGGTAAAGCTCATAATATTTCATTGTTCCATCATATTCCATCAATCCATCACCTTTGTTAATTAGTAAATCTTTGCAATGCTCTGTCTGGAGTTGCCTGCTGTGGCACAGAAAATATAGAGCTCTTTTTCAAAAAAAGGCATGGGCATTTCAGTAGAATTTTACGTTTGGAAGTTGATCAGGTTGTAGATTGCAAATGTTAAAATAAAGTAATTTTCTGCAGACCAGAGGTGTTTTGTAAATGCATTAATGAAAACTCAGATTTTTCCATGAAAAAATGCTTTAAAGTGTTTATCTTTTTTGTCTGTGCTTACAAAACAGGAAGTGTAAAATATTTTCTATCTTTCTATCCAAATAGTCCACTACCAGAAATGCATCTACATACACGTCACAAAAAAAATTGTTGTGTTGATAATACAGAAAAAATATCAATAATTTCTTTGTATTGTGTTTATAATCCTTGATTGAAGATTCATAGAATTGTAGAATGGTTTGTGTTGGAAGGCACCTTTAAAGGTGTGTAGCCCAACCTCCTTGCAATGAGCAGGGACGTCTTCGACTAGCTCAGGTTGCTCAGAACCAGACCTTGAATGCTTCCATAAAGTTCAGAATTTCTGTTTTAAAGCAGGGGTTCTTGTGCAAAATAGAGAAAATGAAGTTGGAGATCCCCTAAATTATACCAACCATCCTTTGATACACTGTTTCATGTTTCTGTTCACTCACTGTTATCCATTGGAAATTAGTGTCCGAAGTTTCCTTTGTTTTTTTTCCCCTTTAACCTTCATATTTAGAAATTTAGTGTCTTTTTTTAACATAATTTTTTTAAACACTGCTTTGTAAGAAAGACTCCTCCAGATTCAAATGACTATGAATTTATTTTTATAAGTAAAATAATGTGTTTTGCTTGAGCCCTGTTTCAAGGCACTTTGTGGCAGGGAAGCTCTCACCAAGGCTCTTTTCTTGGTGACGATGATCTTAGAAATTTTAAAAATAGAGGGAAGGAGATACTGTGTTTCCCTCATACTAATCAGCTCTTCATCTCTGTATGCTCAGATAAGAGCTCTTTCAAATTGGTTGAGTCACAGTCATGAATTCTGGTTCCTTTTTCATTGTGCCACTCCTTCTCTCCCCTTCCATGAAACTGAAAAGCAGTAACTTTGAATGATCCAAGAAAAGCTGTTTCTGCAGATCCATTAGTGTAGTGTGTGTATTGTATCTCTCATAAGCACTGTTTGGTGACTTTTCAGCAAACACGAAATGGTTTTAAGTTCGGCAGTTTTTATCACTTGCTGTCAGGAAAATTTAGAAGTTTGTGAGTCCTCCTTTCCTAGAAACTGGGAAAGTTATTTATATCTTGTATAAATGAAAACAGTGAAAATTAATTTAATGAAAGCTAAAAGAGGTCTATTTGAAAGGCATTTTGAATCTGAATCTGGAATTATTTTGCTTGTTTCACAGCCACTGTCTTGTATGTTGGCTACAGCAAAGGGATTAAATAATATGGTACTAAAACCAAAAATTGAAGCTGACACTTCCTAAAACCAACAACAGAATTTTCAATTTTAAGTGTTGCAAGTGGCTCCTGCTTGTAATAATTGTATCTCCTAGCACTTGTCTTATTTGTTTATTTATTTAAAACTGTGATTTCAGAGTTCATCCTTTCCTATTACAATTTCTGGAGAACAGATTTCCCTTTGTGATTTTGGACAGCCATGTGCCTGATGAGATAATAACATTTTGTCTTCTTATTATTTGTAAAAGTTCAAATCCATTTCTGCCATATGAAGATATCTAATTACTGGAGTAAAATGGTTGTAATTGAAAAAAAAGTTTCCTGATATCCCCACTTTTATTCTTGTTAAGTATCAGTTACATTTAGGTTATCTATTTCTGCTTTATTCCTTTAGCTTTTGTGTGGCATTTTGGTGGGGCATTATTTACTTTTATAATGAAAAGTATTTTACTTAATATAGTAGAGATTTCATAAATTACTACATTATAATTATTTTATTGAATGTTCCAGCCAGCTGCTCAGACAAATGTTTCTATGCAGGTGTCATAATCTGCCTATGATTTATTTAGAATTTAACCTGGTTTTGTTCTCTGTAAATTCATTTAAAGTCATGTAAACCACACTAGTGGTTTTATTTATATGCAGATTTTGTGGCTTCACTAACAAATGCTAGGACCATGTTGGAAAAAGCACTTACTATTCTTAATGTTAGTCTCTGGCAGAATTTTGGAGCCTGAGTTTAAAAATGAAATCTGTTACACTCTGCTTAGTTTCTTGGATACATGAAAGTGATGACATGCAAATAACTTTGTCACTAAAACTTTTGATATCTGGAGTTCTATAAAACAGCCTTCCCAGTGAGGACCTCATCTTGGATGAACTGAAGATCTTGCCACCTACCTGTCTTGTGTCTGAGGCCAAAGATGAGGCATCCTCCTGCCCAAGTTTTAGAGGGAGCAAGCAGACTGGCTCAGACAGTGTGTGACAGGAACTGACTTGCTCACCAAATGATAATACCTACACTCCTGGTTTCTTGGTCTTTAGTTAGAGTTATTACACACCAGAATCTGGTGTTATAAACTAAAACATGAGGTAGAGTGTGAACAAAAAAAAAGAATGAAATATTAGTTTTAAATCTTCGCCAGAACTTGAATTGCTTTGGGTAGAAGAAGAGTTAAAGTTTTGGTTTTCATGAACGCTGCAATTTTTGGTAGTAACTTCAGTTTTCAATATTCTCTTAAAATGTACAGTATTTTAGAGATCCAAAGGAGTGGTAGTCAAATGCTCTTGGTTTAACTGTTACCTGCATGTTTTTCACAGTGAAAAAAAGCCCGACGTTTTTAGATGTGAACACAGGACCCATCATCAGGACCAGCAGCTTTGCTGATGAGCTTGACCTGGAGGGTGAGACACTGCTGACCCCAATAACTCACATCTCACAGTAAGTCAAGGCTGTTGAATTGTGCATTAGTTGACTTAGACAAGAGAAGCCAATTCAGGTGGGAGGAGCTGAAATATGGAGCTGATAGGGCTATCTCAGATATTTGCGTCAGACTCTTTTTACCTTGAAGTCGGTGTGTATTCTGTTCTGAGTGCCAGTAAATCTTCATGTTAACCTAAAGAAAAGTTCACTTGGTTGTGACACAAGGCTTTAGTTTTCAACTGATGTCTCTGGGCAGCTGGTGGCTGATATGCCCAAGATTTTTCTACAGAGACAATGTGTGGGAGTTCTTGCCTGATGAGAGTTATATTACTCCATCCACCATTTTCCGGTGGAATAGCTGTAAAGTGCAAATTTTAAATACTACTTATATGAAACACAATTTCAGCAGCACCTTCTCTAATGGTCAAATGATGTTCTACATTGGAAGAAAAGCTCTGTTTGATCATTATTACTGCTTTATTGTGTATAAAATGATCTGAAATAGGCCTGTACTTTTTTTGTCTTTTTCCTTTTAAAAGAATATTTTCCACTTGTCTTTTATGCTAAAATGTTATCTTCAGGTTCTCAGATTACACTAAAAATTTGCGAATTGCAAAAGATTTTTCTTCAGATGCCTTTAAAAATAAATCATCTGTCATTGTTTAATTCAAACTTCTGAAAAATGCTTATTATTTGCCATAGTACATATGTCACAGTATGTCCTCTAGCAGAGGAAAAACATTTTTTCCTCTCCTGTTTCTAGAAATCTGAGGATTTCTGCAATGAAACCACAGATGAATATTCTTGGCATTCTTGTATTTCTGAGGTACAAAACATGTAGAAATGCCTGCTGCCAATTTTCAGACCTTCTTTCTATACAGTATAAATAGCAGAGAAACACAAATGTACTTTTTATAGCCATTTTCTAAGGGCATTTATTAAAAAAAAAAAAAAAGAGTAAGTTTTGGTGGAATTCTCCCTACCCCTAAACAAAGGTATTTGCATTTTCATCTGAATCACACAAATGTACATCTGTTTGTAGACAGAGGATTTAGGAGACTTGTATTCTGGAAGATTTCTTACTGGTACAAGCAGAAGGAGGAAGTAATAAATTTCCTCAAGCCATAGACAAGAACAGTGGAGCAAAAAACCCAGATCTAGATGTTTTCTTTGCATAGCTTTTTTTATAACTTTAATTTACCACAACACTGCAGTCTTTCTTCAAGAGAAATAAGCTTTGATGCTAGGAGTTTTCATTGTCCTTTTTGGGTTGTGAATTATTTAGTTATTTTTCATTGATACTTTTCAAATAATATGCTTCATCTCTTTTGAGTTCAACTTGTGTATCAGCTGAGATTTTTTTTTCCTATGAACTACTTGTGGGAGACCTTAGGTTATAGGTAATGTGTATCAGCTGAAGAACTGTAGCAAATTAACATCCTAGTCTATCAGTAACTTAGATATTTTTTTTTTACTTTCCTAATTTTTAGTTGTAATCTTTGTTGAAATCTCCCTAGATTGCTCTGAGTCATGACTGATGGTACAAAACTTGTCCCCATATGTGGCTTGAATTGAGTCTCCACTGGGGTGGAAGAAAGTGGAAGTCATTGTTTCTTTTAAGACTTTGCATTTAGATTCAGAACTGGACAAATTGGATAAAATGGAAAACTGATAAAATATTAGTTAAAAAGTGTCTCTTTGAAACATGGGTACCCAAATGTTGTAGAGCCTGAGAGCCGTTCCCTTAGAAGTGCACCTACTTTGTATGCAGTTTATTAAAAGGCCTGAAACAATGCCAGATCAGCCTGTAGGTATAAGGGTTTGTCAAACAGTGAAAACCCTGTGTTTTGTAAGGTCAGTTGAACTATTGTCATTCAGGCAACATATATTCCCAAATATTGAAATGAAAATTATTTCAGTGTTTCATTTCAAATATTGAAATTAAAATTATTTCAGTGTTTGTTTAGCTGTTGAGTTGTGCATTCTGCTTGCATTTGAGGTGACTGAAAAGGGAGTTGTGTTGCTGTGTGTCACTGGGTACCTGTGTTGCTGGATGCTGAAGACAGTCCATTTCCATGAGTTATTTAGACAAATGCTTCTTAAGCTTTAGACAAATACTTCATTTCGAAGTCCTAGGAAACAAATATTCATGAGCTAGTTTCAGATGTTACTAGGATTTGCCTGTGAGACACGTGGGCATAGATTTAAGGATCAAATTTAGAATTGTGCATTAGATACATCTCTGTGTGCAAAACCACGTAATAACTTTCTGTATAGTGAAAATGGTTAGTCATTTCAGGTCTGTATCTTTGTGTGTTTTTAATTCAGGCTTTAAAGTTATGCCGTGCCCGAGAAAATCTAGGATGAATTATTTTGTTCTGATGTCCCCAGTTGTGAAGCATTTTTTTTCCTTAAAGCACATGTAAAATTATGATTGCTCCAGATTTGTTGATACGGAAATAGGCAACCATAGGGAAGTACATGACAAAATTACAGCATCAGCTATGTTATAGAAAAGTCAATTAAGTGCAAATGTATCTAGTTTCAGGTCTTGAAAGCAATTCATACTCCATCAGAGGAACAGAAGCATGAAGACTTGACCTAAGGATGTTTGGATTTGGGATTCATAGAACTATTTCTGGGTCAATTATATATTTATTGCAACATATGCATTAGCTTATCCATTAATCACAGAAAGGTGGCTCCAGAATAAACATTATTTTTTGAAACTCATTAATACATGAGTAAATTTTACAGTTAATTTGAGACATCCAAACAAAAAGAGACTTTTAGTTGACAGTATGAAAAATATTCCCTTTTGACAGATAGTATAAATATGTCAGAAGTGTGGGGTACCTACGGTGTTACTGACAGACAAACACTTGGCATTGTTGTGGCTTAAAAAAATGAATGAGGTTGTTAAGGTTTTTTTCCTCACTTGTATTAGGTCCTGGAAAGTAAATGCCATCTTTCAGCCCTCGGTGATAAAGGGCTTTAGGCTTCTAGGCCTAAAGTCCCCTTTAAGTTAAATTTCAGCGCTCTGCTGTTTCATGCAAAAATTAGTTTCTTTTGGTAAAAGTAGGTGCAAATTCTCACTGAATTCAATAGAACTGGTTTTGTGTCAATACTAAAAATGCAGGTATGGTGGTTTTTTGCAGGACATATGTCTGACTGTATTTTAGATCTGTTTTGAAATAAATATTTTATTAAATGTAGCTCTATTTCTATGGAATTGCAAATGGGAAATCTTTCACGTGGAAAGATTACCGTATCAGTTAACCACTGTCACTACCCATTTGAAGAAACAAAAATAATAAATAAAAGCACACTGAGGCCTGATGTTCAAACAGGAAAGTTATACAAATGTCACAGAAAAAAACAGATTTGCAGCAGGTGCATGCAGAAACATAGAATAAGACAGCAGTGTGTGGGGGGGTGACTGCCCTTTTCTTGCTACATGAGAAGTCTTATGAACAGAAGATGCAGATTTAGCAGAGCGGTTTGTGTAATGAGCTGTTATGGATCTCACATATAAAATGATCTGTAGCAGTTTAAAAAATGCAATACACAGAGTGGGTTTTGTGATAAAACTTGGCCCTTCAGTGCTTTGTTTAATGCTCCTTGTGGCCTGTTCTGTTGTAAAAGTGAAGTAGAAAACTGGACTGCAGCAATACCACTTCTCAATGGTTAATTCTCTCTAATCGTTGTGTTCCTGTATTGTCTCCTGTTCCCTGCTTCACTTCCTTGGGCTTTTTGTTTTATTTGCATTTTAAAGCACTGAAAAATCGATGCTACTTGTAGCTGAGCCTCAGCTACCAAAAGGGTATTGCCCTGTGTTTGTATAATTGTTTAATTTCAGCATTACTGTGGATCCAGCTGACCACATGTATTTCTAACACGTTACTAACATTGCACATTTGTGATCTTGTTATTGTCTGTATCAACATAACAATAATTCTTGATGTTTCAATGACTCTTCTCCACGTGTTTCATGTACCTCTTTATTGAGGTGATGAAAACACATTTAATTAGTTAAGCATTGGTTTTGTCTCTAAACATATAAAATAATTGCTTTCCTGCAATGGCATACTGATGTCATTTTAGATTTAATATGGTGGGCTTGCACTAAAATAAAGCTTTACATTACAAACAAAAAACACTTCCTATTTGTTATGAAGTGTATTTCCTTTCTGAAAAAATTCTGTGTCGTGAAATCAGCTTTATCTTCTCTACTCTCTCCATCATCATCTTGAGTGTGGTACAGAGCCTTTTAGACATTGTATTAAGAGTAAGTGGGAGACTCCAGTGGTGTTTTTAGAAATAAACCCTCCCTTATTAAACAGTCAACAATTAAACAAACAGATTTACAGCTTCTTAATAATTTACAGATCAAGAGGAAATGATAACAGATGAATCCTTCTGAATGATTGAAATGATTGCTTCTGAATGCTTTGAAATATACTTGAAATATTTGAAATAAAAAAGTGTGCTGGTAAACACCGAATGCAGTGTCCATGGTGCTGCAGTTACCACTGGCTTTTATTGGAAATAATATTTTCTTTCCTTTTCTAGTTTTATTAAGTGTTCTATGTTTTAATTGCCAGCATATAGTTTGTTGGCATGAGTTATAACCACATTGCCTAGAAAAAAAGGGTGCTGTATATGTCTTTTAATGGTCTCTTTTCTTTTGGATTATCCATGAGTGGAATATCCCTATTTGCTTTGATTTGCTGACTCATACTGTAAAAGATTCCTGCTTTTATCTTCCTCTTCTATACCAAAATGACCCTCGGAAGTCTGAGCAAATATTTCTTTTTCATTCTCAAATGGGCCAGATGGAACAGCTGACTTCTGCTGTCAGAAGAATTCCTTCTGAAACACTGTTAACAACATTAAAACGTGATTTCTGTGGGGTTCATTTTATCATTAATGACAAGGCATGTTTTGAAGAACAGCAGTGATAGCAACTACGTAAGAACATGCTTAAAACCAGAGCTTAATGTTCAGACATCACTGGT